ACTTGCCTTGCATGCCTGAGGCCCTGGGTTCGATTCCTCAGCACCACATAAGCAAAAAGAAAAAAGCCAGAAGTGGTGCTGTGGCTCAAGTGGTAGAGCGGCTGAAGAGCTGCGGGACAGCGCCCAGGCCCAGAGTTCAGACCCCACGACCGGACCCAAAAAAAACAAAAAACAAAGTGGGCCACAGTTTGCCCTTTCTTCCCTGGGAGTAAGTGAAGAGCATCAGCAGTCCCGCCTAGAGCTGAGCTTCTCGTATCCAGATGGAAGCCAAGTGCATCTGCCCTGCCTTTGTGACCACTGAGCTACTATCTGGGATCACTGAAATCTGTTCTCCCCGCCAGCAAACAAGGCCGAAGGGGCCAGCATCCTAGAATGCGTGGGTCATCCACCCTGCTCATCAAGTTCTGCCCTAATTTACATGATATATGCAAAATTTCTACTTGGTACACCTTCTTCCCTCAGACATCTTACAGGAGTGCCAGATAGAAGGGGGAAAAAAGGGAATAATTCGTGTAGCTACAGCATTGGTTTCTCAATGGTTGGTTTTAATGGTGATACAGGATCTGAATTACATTCAATCACATCCAGTCCAAAGTGTAAAAATTATGGCAACCACATTTAGCATGGAATAGTGTTGCATTCATTTTTATTATTAGTTTAATTCAATTTTCTTTTTCTTGACAGTCTTAAAACATTCATTTTATACTAAACATAAAGCAAATGATTTTTCCTAAACATAATGCAAATGATTTTTCAATTGACCCTTCACATAAAATAATAAAACAGGATCTCTTCTGACCCAAGTCACTGGAAGAAAAAAATCTAGTAATTATCTCACTTAAATGAATCTGTACTTGATGAATGGCACAAATATACGATAATACCCCATATTTTCAAGGCAGAGTCATTGTTCACCATGGTCTGGGAAGAGCTTAGATAGTTGCCTATAAAACAAATAACTTTATCTTTTATCCTCACTCAATAGATTCTTTCTACTCTAAATTTTCAGTTTATGTATGTGCAAGGACTTCTGATTTTTATTTATGAATGTGACTTCTAAAAATAAGACCCCCAAATGATGGTACAAAAAAATAGTGTTTAGTAACTAACATATGTGAAAGTTAAATAAGTTCCCTAACTCTTTACTGAAGAACTTGAACTTTGTTCCCATCTCTAGTTTCACTCACAAATTCTCATTTTTTCCATCCCTCATATTGCATTTGAATAAGCAAATGCTGGTCCCCGCAGTATACGTTGGCTTTCCATAAACATTTGCTTCCCTTTTGTAACATGTTGCTTAAATCTTGCAAAAGGGAATCCTTTGAGCCCAGAGAGAATCCTATGCGCTCCTGTTAGCCATGAACAAAGATGGTGCAGCCACAATTTTAATGTGGGTTTGCGGACATGGATTCTAAAAATCCAATATGTATAGCAGACCCAGAACCCGCTAATTTCAACAGGAGTCAAATGCAGTGACACTACAATTCCCAGGTGTGTTGCATTTAACACACGCAGTTTAAAAGAAAATGGAGCACAGGTGAGGGTTACCTGTGTGTTCACTACATGTACTGTTTTCAACTCTCTAGTAGATTTGCTGATTTTTAAAAAGAAAAAAAAAACAGCTATAAGTTATAAATTAAAGTATTATGTCAAGTATCATTGGCTTTAGGGTAAGAAAATAATGTTCTATCTTACAAGTAGAAACAGCTCTACCAAAGGAAAAAAATATATATATATACATATGTATAGATAGATAGATACTTTAGAAACTAATCGAGGGAGTGGCAGGGGTGCACCTGCCACCCCTCACCTACATCCACATCGTCTCTTGAGTTTCTAAGCAAATAATGTTGATTTTTGTCCAACACTGGTTGTTTTATTTCTTGGTCTAACACAAAACACAACTTATCATTTACAAACGATGATAACGTTTTGAAAAAGAATACACCTTTCAGTAAAATGAAACTTAAAATGATTGCTTTAAAACCAGCTGATATGAATAGCTCATGGACAATTCAAACGGGCTATGTTTTACCATTGAACTAAAAACAGGTTTGGTTCTTGTGTAAAGACTAATGTCAAATGACAAAGCTCTGCCATTCCTAGCAGCTCTTTGGCTGGACAGTATCAACTTAGCCCAAGTCTCAAAAGTAATAATAATAAAATAAATCTTTACTTAGGATGGGAGATGGAATACAGTGCTACCTTTTGGTGACAACAGAGAGAGTAAAAAACTATGTGCTGTGGACAATACCAAGAGTGAATCTGAGTGAAATCTGAAGTTCCCCTCCCAGGCCTTCCAACAGGCCTCTTGAATAGCAGAGCAACACTCCCTCCCCACTGAAGTCTCTGAGAGAGGAAGACACAACTTACAAAGGGCTTATGACCACTGGGGGCACAGGAACACCAAGACCCAAGGCAGGGCAGGGCCTGGTTCTTTCAAAGGCACTGATGACACTGGAATGTGTCACAGACACAAGTGGATCCAATGAGCAAAAGCCCTGGGACAGTGGTAGTTGCTGGTTTCAAAAGCTCAGCATGGAGTATCATCATCAGTCTACATAGATTCCTTCTCCTTCCTCTCAGACCTACTTCTATCTCTGTTTTCTGCATGGATTTCTGTCAACTGGAGCACATCAGAGAATCAAGACCATATTGGTTTCTCAAATGGCAAAATTTTTCACACCCTTTGATACAGAGGCTGGGGAGATGGGGGGCGGGTGGGGGATATAAAAGGAAATATTGGGAAAAGTTGAATGTTACTGTTGGTAAACAAACAATACTTTGAATATACACACCTTTTTTGTTTTGGCCTTAGAGTTAAGGTCTCAGGCTAGGAACATTGCCTACCATAGATGAGGCCTTGGACTTATTCCCAGTACTAAAAAAGACAAAGGTAGAGAGGTAGAAAGTAAGAGAGGGAAGAAGACCATAGCCAACTTGTCCCACACTCCTGAGAGCCTGACCATCATCCTGACTCAGCCTCCTGAGTACCTGTAACTACAGGTCTGTACTACTGTACCTGATAAACAGCTATTTTAAAAGATGATTCATAGAAATCAACTAACATAGAAACTCATTTTTTCCCCTTGCTTTCAAACTAAATGCCTATGTGCTATTATAAGGGAAAATAAGACAGCAACATGAACATCAAGCCTGTTGAAAGCTCCCTGAGACAACATTCAGACACTACGCCATACAACATGACAGCACAAAATCAATTACTTTACAAGGATCATGTACAATAAAAATCAAATCTCTACATAACCTACAGGATACACAGTATCCTTACGATTGTGTGTGGCAATAAATTTACCCATGTCGGAAAAATGATCAGGCTATAAAATTCTCAAAATAATTTTGGCACGAGTCCCTGAGTTGTTGTGAACAGTCCTGAAGGCTGCTTCCTGGCCATCCTGGCCCCTGCTCCCAAGACCTCATTCCCTGGTGCGGCTCCCCTGACCCTCCAGCTTCCCTCCGTGAACAGAGGCAGAGGAAGGAGGGGGGCTGGAGGCACATCTTCATTTAGTGTTCTAACCTCTCGAGGGCCTTATGCCGCAGATGCTCATCCAAACACTGGATGGCAAAGAGGTCGACGTCCATGTCAAACTTATTGGCAAAGAAGTGGTGCTTGCGAAGCATCCAGTTCAAATCCCCGGCCCCGAAAATGCACACGGCGCGCACATGCACCCCGTCGCAGGGCGGGTAGGGTGCACCGCGGGACACGTCGCCTTCGAAGTACTGCCACTTGACAAACCGGGCCACGGCGTTCATGTCAGACAGGTCATACTTATTGCTGGAGGACAAGGAACCTGGCACTTCGGGAATCCTTTGGATGGTGGCCCAGAGGTACTCATCGGGACTGTACGTGTCCTGCGCCCACTCCATGAACTTCTGGATGTGCTCATCCTCTAACACGAATCTCACGTACTCCCTACTGACCACAAAATAGGCGCTACCTGAGAACAGAGGTGTGCTCAGGGGAGGCGGTGTCTTGACCGTCCCCGTGTTAATGATCCGTCCGTTCATGATGACATAGTGCTTCCTCCACCTTTCCTCCTTATGGGCTGGCATCTTCTCTGTCTCCAGGTTGTTTTCACCCCTGAATGACTGCAGCTTCCTAACCATCTCCAGGTTGGTTTTAATAGGAAAATCCATGCCGCACAGATTGATCAAGTATTTCCAGCCCGCATGCATGGCGTACAGCTCCTTCATGCAGTTGAGGTCTGCCTGCACCCGACTCCAAGATGCATACACCACGGTCTCCAAGCGGCTGGCCACGAAGACGTTACTGAAACACGATGCGATGCCCATCACCGCAGCTAAGAAGGCTTCCTCGGATTTCTTGTCCACGTGAATGCAGTAGAAATTCTGCGGCATGTAGATGGCCCGCAGGAGCCTGTCGAGCATTTCAATCTTGTGATGAACCACGATGGAATAGGCAATTGGGAAGGCCACCTCCTCCTTGCTCAGGGGCTCTGTGATGTACTTGCGCGTCTTGATGAAGGAGCCACAGTCCCTGGTCATGTTTATATAGTCCTGCGGGGTCCACCGAGGGCGCCTCTTAAACCCCACCGTTAGCATCTCAAGCTTGGCCTTTTGGATTTCGCTAACGTCACCCTGTAAAATTTTGGTGCAGTTGACATTGTTACTAGGATTCTCTTCCGTAAGATCCAAGTGACTGACACCTAGAAACTCGGGCTTCTGATGGATCTTTAAAACAGACAAGGTAATCAGAGACAAAACAAGAAGCACAAAGTAGTATTTAGTGGGACAAGAAAAAAGTCTCCTCCGCAGTAAGTTCTTCAGCATTTCAAAGGACAAGGAGAGACTTCCCTTTCTGAAGACCGCAGTGGTAGGCTCGGGTACCTAAAGATTTTCCTCTCCAAACAGGTTGGGGTGTGTCAGAGGAACAAGAGCATCTCGAAAGGCAGAACAGCACTGAAAGCAACACAGAAATAATGTAAGTAAATGCAATCTTGTACAGCATCTTCTTAGGTTAGAAAACAGTGTCGCTGCTACAAAGGTCAGGTCAGTTTTTTAAAAGAGAAACAAGGTGGGTTAATAAAAGGAAGTGATCGTTTTACAGGAAACCCACAGTCAATAGCATCAAAGCCACAGGGAGGTTGTAGAATGAGGGGAGAGGTCATGGGAGGGGACCCTGGACACAGCTGCCAAAACCTAGTACTAAGTTGTCCTCAGTTAACATGCATATACTGAGATGCTGGACTTAGAACCTGGACTGTAATTATTGAACTGTCTATGCTTGGGGAGTGCCAGTGTTAACAAGCACTAAAATCATTACCAGGATGTCCCCCTGATAGCTACTCACGTCCATGAACTGGTGTCAGCAATCAGGAAGGCTCGAAGAGATCAGATCATTCGGACATTTTTAAAGAAGTTTTGAAAGCAGAATAATTCAACTGACTTTTCAAACCGAACTAAAATAATTTTATGTAAAATGAGGCCAGATTGGGGGCTGAATTAGGTTAATACCATATTTAAATTCAGTTCAATGATAAGTACTACAGGAAGACAAGACAGACACAGTCCAAAATAGAGCCTGTATTTCCTAATAATGGAGCCTTTAGCCCAGAACCAGTAGCTCATACCTATAATCTTAGTTACTTAGGAGGCTGAGATCTAAGGATTGTGGTTCAAAGCCAGCCGAGGCAGGAAAGTCCATGAGACTCTTACCTCTAACCAGTAAAAAAAAAAATGGAGCTTTGGTTCAAGGGGTACAGCAATAAATAGCCTTAAGCAAAAAAGCTCAGAGATAGTACCCATGCCCTGAATTCAAGCATCGGGATTGGTAAATACACAAAAATTAATAATTATTATTAATACTAATATTGGAAAAATAATAAAATTATAATGTCTATTGGAGACCACCCTATTTTTACTATAAAAATGCTCCCAAACATTCACATGTTGTTTAGTATTTTCTGTGTGTGTACAGAGGCTTGAAGTCTGCTCTTGCTTGGCTTTTTTTTTGCTCCAGACTGGTGTGACACCTAATGAGCCATCTCTCTACTCAGTCTTTTCGCATCTCAGCATCCAGAGTAGCTAAGATTACAGGTGTAAAGCCCCAAGCACCTAGCTATTGTTTAGCTTTCAGAAGCAATTTTGTTATTTAGCAATTGGTTCTACAACAATAGGGGCTGTTCCAAAACAGATCAAATACCATGCATGAACCATGTCCATACCGGATTTATAAAGTGATGTTTGTTTTTTTCAGTACTAGGGTTTAAACTCAGGGTCCTCTGTTTGCTGGGCAGGTGCTCTACTACTTGAGCCATGCCTCTAGCCCCAGATGTAGAGAGACTTGACATAGGAGGCTTTTTTTAAAGAATCTTTTTGTTCTTTGAGACAGGGTCTCACTATATGCTAGTCTCGAATTTGTGATCTTCCTATGTCAGCCACCTAGGGGCTGAGATTTTGAATTAAGTTCTAAATGCCAGAATTAACACTGAACCTCTTAAATATTTCAGTGGGAAATAGATTATCACTATCAATAATGAAAATAAAAATTACCAGTACCACATAAATGCAGGATCAAATGAAGCATTTGGATCTTTACCATTCAGAATACATAGACGTCTGGGTGATTCAGTGTTCTGGTCACTGTCATACTGTTAGGTTTCTTAAATGCACCAACAATGGTGATATACCTCCAGGGCTGTTTAAATAATCTACAAGACAGAATGAGAAATAAGTGAGGCAGCTGGAAATACATACCCCGATTATTTCTCTCTTTTACAATTTCTTCATTTACAATCTTATTTTTTAACTTAATATGTGTATGGTTTGCTAAAGGTTTGAAAACACCTGGCAATTTAAGCTAAGCTGTGTGTGTGTGTGTGGTATATTGCTAGGCAGCGAACCCAGGGTCTTTCATATGCTAGGCCAAGCTCTCTATCATTGAACTATACCCCTAGCCATTGGTGAAGCCTATATGAAAGGAAATTCTAGTAGCCTTTTCTAAAATGTATGCTGAGCAACCATTTAATGGTCCAGTATGTATGACTGGAAAACCCAGGCGTTCACTAGCATGTTAGTGACCATACTGCCTCTCCTTTTCCTTTGACTATCTCGATCACTGCCTGCTCCCACACTCTCTTTGAAAGCAAACATTTCTGCTAAAACCGTTAAGCATTTCCATCATTACAACATCAAAACACTTCCTTGCCTCTTATAGATCAAGACGTTTATAGAAACCTCTGTCCAGTCACTGGCAAACCCTGAAGCGAATGGAGCAGAGATTTCAGTGCCCCACACAACAAATACAGACACTAGAAAATTAATCAAAGAAAGTATCAAGGGCTGGCAATGTGGCTTACTGATGGGTTGCCTAGCACGTATAAGGCCCTGAGTTCAATTCCGCAGTACCGCATACACAAAAAATAAATAAAACTAATAACATTAAAAGAAAAAAAAGAAAGAAAGTATCAAAGAAGGGGTGGAGGCATAGCTCAGTTGGTAGAGTGCTAGTCAATGAGTAAAAACCACCAGGCTCCTAGTTCAAGTCCCAGTCTCAGAGCAAAACAAAAACGAAAGTATCAAGGAAAATTGCTAACCAAACAAGTAGCGATAAGAAGCAGCCTCAAGCAGGATAAGGATGGAGTTCTGAGTTCCAGAGCTGACGTATTATAAAATGTCCAGTTTCAACAATAACAAAAAACAATGATAAGCACACAGAGAAACACAAAATCATGGTAAATCAGTACAGCAGAGCATTACAAGTTTTTTGTACACCATTGTAACCCTCTTAAGTAAAGCTTCACTAAAAGATCTTTCAAATACACAGAGGAATTTCCATGAAGAAATGAAGCATCTGAGCATATTAGTTTCTTGTGTGTGTGTGTGTGCATGTGTATGCATGCGTGTGCACCTTATTACTGGGGCTTGAATCCAGGACCTCTCAGCTATTTCCACTCAAATTTGGCACTTAACCACTTGAGCCATACCTCTCCTTCCAACTTTTTGCTGGTTAATCGGAGGTAAGAGTCTCAGATTTTCTAAATCAGGTTGGCTTTCCACCGTGAGCCTCAGATCTCAGTCCGCTGGGTAGCTAGGATTACGCCCGAGCCAACAGAGCCTGGCCTACTACCTTCTTTTTCTTTTGGCAGTAAAGAAGATAGAACTCATGGTCCTGTGCTCACTAGGCACGTGCTCTCCCAACTGAGCCACGCCCATTTTATACGCTGTATTAGGTTAATGCAGCTTGAATCACCAGAAATTCTTAGTTCAAATAGAGAACACCATGGAGCAGGAAAGGAAAGGAAGAAGGAAAGATGGTACCTGAAGACAATAGTTCTTAACATGTGACTTCTAGCAAACGAGATGAAGAAAAAAAACGAAACAAGAAATGTAAGAATGTAAAGCTCTACTGAAAATAGACTGCTCTTTCTTCTATAGTGCCAGTGATAAGAAGAAGTCAAGGCAGGAGACAATAGGAAAACTACCAAGTACCCCTCAGGTGACAGTCTGGTCACACTTCAACATAATTTTATAATTTAGTTTATATAATTCATAAATAATTTATATGGGAACATAAAACACATGGGCCTAGTGAGGGGTCCGTTTTGAGTATTCAGTGCAGTGGGAAGACAGACAAGATGACTTTGGGGGGTGAGGGAAGAGGAGGTGGCGATGCAAATGGTAGAGCAGATGAAGAAGTAGCTGATTAATCAGATCCACAAACCCCAGACTGAAAAAGATCCAGCTCCATTTACTACCACCATCTTCACCAGGCTCAGGAACTGGTGAGAAGAGCACTGTGGAAAGGAGGTCTGGCAGCTGTTTAGAAGGCAGATGGGTCTTCACCCCAGACTTTGCCAAGATCCAGGGGTTAGTCTCTGCACAAGCTCATACCAGGCCCCAGGAAAGAGCACAGAGCCCCATGCAGAAAACAAGAACCCAGACAAGAAAACTGACACTTCCTTCCTCCCCTCTGACTTCCTTGTTCCAGTTGGATCTCAGAACCCTGGCTGTGAAAACAAGCTCAAGTTCATTCGCCAGGAAATCCAAATAAGCCAAGAGAAGAAAAATGACTTAACAAATGTCACTTATAGTGGAGTTCCTTCCGTGTTCAAAGGAAACATCCTATACACAATAAATAAAATGCCAATACCAATAAAATGCTTAGGAAGATAATTACTTCCATTAAAAAAAATAAATGGATGGGCAGGGTGCTAGTGACTCACACTTGTAATTCTAGCTCCTCAGGAGCCTGAGATCTAGATGCTGAGATCTGAGGATTATGGTTTGAAACCAGACCATACAGATAAATCCCTGAAATGCTTACCTCTAATGAACCAGCAAAAGCCAGAAGAGGAGGGATGGCTCAAGAAGACAAGGCTCGGAGTTCAAGCGGAACTGGTACCAAAAGAAAAAGAATATGTAAATGGATGGAGCCGATTACATTTTCTGAAGACAGCCAGACAACATGGTCACTACACGTGTTCTTCTGTAATCTGACCTCCAATCTCTCATCAAGTAGGCAAGCTCTTCCTGCTTTCATTTGGACAGCCATATGATAACGTTGACTGAGGAAAAGTTCTGCAGAGTGTAGCCACGCCAGAGTGACCACACCAAAGCTAAGTCATATAAAACCAGGCAGCTACTGCCAGGTTGCTTGGAAAATTTTCTCTCTTGACGCTCATGTCTGAAGCAGCCTCTATGCTGTGGGAAGCCAGGTTGGTAAAATTCAAAGCCAGCAATTCTAAGTGAGCCCAGCTCTGACTCCACCCGAGCTGCCTGCGAGTGGAGTGAGACGCGGTCAGACGGCTCCAGTCTCTCACCGCGGGAGCCGTCCCTGAATTCTTCACCCGGGCACATCAGGAACAAAACATAAATAAATGAAATGGACAATGCTGTGCGTTACTATGCTGGAGGTGGTTTGCCTCACAGCAATGGATGAGGACAACAGGAAACCCCAGGACACCAAGAAAATAAAAAGAACCCTTAAAAAAAAAACCAATGAGATGACAGCAAAAAACAAAACTCAATAAAAGGGTTGGAAGATCAAGCTGAGAATTCTCAAACAGACAAACGGTGACCAATTAGGAATAAAAAAAAATAAGAGAAAGAAATACAATCATTTAGAAGGTCAGGCCGGTAGATTCCCTTTCTGGTGGAAAGGCAGGAGGAGGAATGGTATCAATTCAATAAGTGAAGAACTGGACACAGGTGGCTCCTGCTTGTAATCCTAGCTACTCAGGAGGCTGAGAGCTGAGAATCTCCATTTGAAGCCAGCTCAGGCAGGAAAGTCCATGAGACTCTTATCTCAATTATATATATATATATATATATATATATATATATATATATATATATATATATGTATATATATGCACACACACACACACACACACACATATATATCCCAAGATGAAGAAATTGGTACTAGCGGATTTTGTGCATAAATTGATGAAATCCATATATGGTGGGTGAAACCAGAACTCACACCAAGAGTCATTCATTCATTAATCTACCACGACATGTCAGAATGCTGGGGAAAAGCACATGAAGTGGATTCAGAGCCAAGCAAGGTGGCAGCCGCCTTTCATATCAGCACTCAGAAGGCAGAGGTAGCCTTACTACATAGTGGATTCAAGGCCCGCTTGGGCTACGCAGAGAGACCCTGTCTCAAAAATAAACATCAATGAATTGAGAAGAAGAACGTCTTCACACTTCACAAAACCCAGCTATGGAAACCAATAAAAAGAGCACAGAGCAATGCTTTCCAAGTACTGAAGAAAACAGAACGAGGTCCAGCTGGGAATTCTTACGAATTATCAATGAAAGTAAGTACAAAATAAAAAACACGTAAACATTCATGTCTCAAAAAGATTTACATTTACCAACCTAATTCTCATGAAGCTACCAAACACGGAGCTTCATAACACAGCAGTATTAACCAAGAAAGGAGGAGACTCATCAGGCTAGACACAGAGGTGGATGGAACAGAGGAAAAAGAAGCCCAGGATTATGAAGAAGGTCATGGTAAGCCGTGTAGGAAACCAAGAGACAAACCCCAGCGTGTCAGCAGGCCCTGGGAGCCATGTCTTCCACAACACAAAACTCGTGAGTGGTAGGTAGGCCTCCGCTCAGGTTTATCCATTTCCTGCGCTCTTCCTTGGCCTGCTCTTGGTGGCGTTGAGGCAATAAACACTGAAAACCAACTGGAACAATGGCAGACTTTGAGTCTGAGTTTGTAATAAGCACCTTGAAAACAAAGCAGACTAAGGAAGTTAGGAGTGTAATTATGGATCCCAAACAAAGCAGTCATGCAAAAATGAAAACAGCAATCATAACCTATCCTAGGGCTTAGATCTGAAGAACAGGGCTTTTATATGTAAACACTATTTATCAATCAATGTGCAAAGCAACTCTGCTTGAAGCCATGGCTTGCTTCCATCCCCAGCAACAGGAAGGGAAGGGAGGGAGGAGAGAGGCAGGAAGGGAGGGAGGCAACTCAGGAGTGAAGGGAGGGGAAGAGAGGGAAAAGAAGGAATAGATGGAATAGAAGAAAGCAGGGGGCAAAAGAGGGGGGGAGGGAGGGAAGAAGAAAGGAGGAAAGGATAAACAAGTCAGCAACATATAAAACACTATGGGAACATGGTCAGGATTACTTTGATGCTACAAACCAAGAGCCTCTTTCTAATTTTATAATGTGCTTGTCTCCAAC